TCCATTGAAAATGTATTTACGGTATACTGTCCTTTGTCCAGAAAAGAACATAAAGACATCCTCAAAGTAGTCCATGTGACATCAGTGGGTTAGTTAGAATGTTTTTGAAGCATCGAAAATACATTTTGATCCAAAAATAACAAAAACGACGACTTTATTCAGCGTTGTATCCTCTTCTTGTTCTAGTATACCGTACATTCATTTTCAATGGAGGGATTACGCCATATTGTAATTACCGCAATTACATGATTTCAACAAAAGCGTCCTCATAGAGCTTGTAATTACAGCTTGTAGGTAGGAGTTTTCTAAAAGCTCATATGACCGCTACAGATTCATTTTAGGTGTTGATAAATAAGAAATGCATAGTCCCAGTCCGAGGACGTGAACAGCTCCGAATAAAACGTTATGTGTTGTCATCTAGAGACTATGGTAATTATGACACATAAGCCAGAACTGCTACTCTCCCAGCTGGTGTTACCATAAATAACTAAAAAAGAAATGCAAACAACTACAGTAACTGAAACATATGGTAAATTATATGCAACTCTCAGGGCAGGGAACACCGGGTTAAATGGAATATGGATTTTCCACATCGGAACCAGCCGCTTCCCATTCCAGAAGGTAGTTCCTGCTTCAGTCTCCAAGTCTGGTTCTATGGGTTTTGGTAGCTTGCGCAACACCACAGAGGAAGATTTCTACATTACAGACGAATCAAACACAGCTGCAGATGAATCTACTTCTGAGGCCCAAATGGACACCCCCGGTTCACTTGTTCAAAATCCATTAAAACCAAACCAAGAACTACATGCTAGTTCACAGAATGGAACCAAAATGTGTGGCGTTCACTTGAAATTCTGCTCCCAGGATGCTTACTGCACAGACTACGCAACTGGTCCATGCTGTCATTGCCGTTCTGGTTACTATGGGAGTGGCAGACATTGTTTACCTATGGGTGAGCTTTTGTAGTTTAGTATGTTCTTTTCATATCATTTGTACTATGATATGATCTTATACAACCCAAAATTAAAACTTTTTTTACAGGTATTTCTCAGCCTTTAAGTGGAAAGCTGAGTGGAAGTGTTTTTGTTGGAGACATTAAAGCTCAGCTAAAAATGTGGACCTCCATGGCTTTGCTGTGGTGGGAGAAGGACGCGTGTACATCTCCATCAGTCCAATCCCAGCTCAGGCAGGTTGGGCTCTGATGGTTGTGAGCCCGCTGGCCTCCATATTTGGCTGGCTGTTTGCTCTTGAGCTCCAAAACCATCCAAATGGCTTCAGTATAACTGGTATTATTGTTAATCTGAAGCTTCATTACATTATATTTTTACAATTATCATGTCACTCTCATGAAGAAAGACATTTTCTTCAGGTGCTGAGTTTTTTCATTGGGCAGAACTGGTTTTCAGTCCACAAGGCCAGCGTGTTACCATTATTCAAGAGGCTAAAGGATTGGATTCATTCAACCACTTGAATTTAACATGACGATCAATGGACATTTACCTACCATTCCCAGTGGTGCTAAAGTTCAAATTCTGCCATAAAGAGACCTACCAATACAACCAATCAGGTAATTCTTATACGCAATCTTGGAGGGTATGACTAGGATTCAGTAATTCTACATGATTTTGAGTGTGATTTTGCTTTTAAACAAACAGTTCAACAAAAAAGTGTTTATTCTAACATACGTTTTAGACACCATATTGTCGATCACTTTGTAAATTTGTGCGCCACAAAAAAAAAAAAAAAACTCCGAAACCTGCAAATTCACTCAAAAACCAGTTTAAAACAGAAATAGGGAGTATCAACCCGATCTCACGACCAAGTCGTACGAATTCAACGAATGATTAAAAAGTGGCTAAATCGTAACAATTCATACGACCTCACTTGTACAAATTAGTACGATTTTGCTAAATTGTACATATTTTACGAATTGGCCAACTCGTATGAATTCATACGAATGATCCTACCCCTTACCGCGCCCCTAAACCTAACCATCACGTGGGTTTAGACAAATCGTACAAATTCGTACGCGTGAGGTTGTACGAATTAGTACGAATTAGACACTTTTTAATCATTCGTCAAATTCGTATGAATTGGTCGTGAGATAGTGTTGGGAGTTTTGAAGCCCATTTCTGACACATAAGAAAAAGTTAAAGTTAAGTCATAATTTTAACAGAAAACTGAAATGTGAAATTATGACATGCCAAGACATTGTGATATAAAAAGTCAAAATTATGATATAAAAAGTCATAATCATGACGTTAAGGTGAAATTATGAAATTTCATAATTGTAACAAACAATTAAATTTTGAAAAAGTCAATTTTGATGCATCTCATCATTTCAACTTTCTGTGTCTTAATTATGACTTTATCTCATAAATTGGAAATAATGACACATTAAGTCATAATTTTGAGATAAAGAGTCCTAATTGTCACATAAATGTAGACATTACGAGAGAAAAAAACAATTACAAATAATGTAAATTCAGAAAAGTCAATTATGACTTATGGAGTCTAAGTCTGCTAATTTTGACATTTTATTTCATAATCATGACTTAATATGCCATCATTTCAAATTTGTATGTCAGAATTTTGACTAATTGCCTGAAGTATTGTTTATTCCAATAATGATTAATAATGAACAAATGTAACTCTTTTAAAAGCAATAAGCCACTCAAGTCTAAAGTTAGTGCTTTAATATGTGTTTTTTGAGCATTATGGTTATGTATTTTGTTTCTGGCTCAGTTGTGACATCATCATCACTGCACAAGTACATGGTGGTGTCAGAAAACGGTGGATCCGAGACGTTCTCTTACCGGCTACACCAAAATATAAGTTTCCGTAACTGTGAGCATGGCCCATGGACCTTACCGGACTTTCAGCAGGTGAATGTGGAGCATCTGATGGTCACGTTCACAGAAGGAACCACCCTTAGATATGCCATAATCAACCAAGTGGGACCTGTAGGAGGTTAGAAAATACTATTAACCAAGCCATTCTACAATGAGGGTCATTCTTAGTTACATTTCACATAATTTTGGAAAATTGTTGAGGATTTCTTTATGTTATCAGGTGAGCTCCCTGGACTTGTGGAGTTGAACCCCTGTTCAACTGGGAAGCACCATTGTGACCCCATGGCCCTCTGTCTGCCAGGGGACGGCATTCAGTTCCACTGTCAATGTGCCATGGGCTTTCAGGGGGATGGACGCAACTGCTATGGTACAGATCTTTCAGTGTTCATCTTTATTATACAGTATTTTGACATTAAGCTTAATCTCCAATTCCCTTAGAGACTATGTCATCTTCTGATGCCATTAATAAATGACTGCCTTAGTTAAAGTGCTGAATGGCTCTCTTGGGTTTTGAATCTGTGATCCAGATGTAGATGAGTGTGCTGATGGCTCAGTTCCTGTGGTCCTCACTCTGAGTGTGTGAACATGCCGGGTGGACATCACTGCCATTGTGAACCTGGCTATGAGTTTGACCTCGATTTGCATGTGTGTGTAGGTAAGTGTTCTGAGTAGTAAAGTGTGTATGAGAGTTTCGGGATTGTGTGTTGCAGTAAGAGTGAACCAAAAGACAATTTGAAATTTGATTTGAGATCATCCAAGCAGTATGATTGCAATCAGATTTTTACATACTTCAAACCAGCTCCAAATGTGGTTTGAATCAGATTTGGAAAAAACATTGTTGTTGTTGTTGTTGTTTTTTTTAGGGGGTTGCCCAGACTTTTGAAAACCCATCTGGATAAAATTAGCCTTGTTAAAACCAGACCATTCTCAGTTGTAACTGAGTTATGCGTCAAAGCGTCATAGACAAATCATTTCCAGAGGGACAAACCAAGCAGAGCGATGAAGGAGATGACGTATGCAGTTTCTCCGAGTGTTGTTCTTTGCTCGGTTTTTAACAAAAAAGGACACGTTCAAATCGCTTAAAACAGACGCGATAGCTGATTCGAATGAGTGATGTTCGACGGCATCCATCTTTGTAATGTAAGCTACAAAATCTGCTTCAAAATCGCATGGCTGTCATCATCTTGTAAAGCCCGCCCAAACGTTTCTGATGGGTGCCTCGATTTCGTCGGATTGAAAATGGGCTTTTTTTTTAGTCTTTGGCAGACTAACTTTCAGAGCAAATCTAAATTTGCTAGAAGTTGTCTGGGTTTTCCCAGGCTAGGATAAAATCTGATTCAAAAAAATAGATTTGTGCTGGTTGTCTAAACAAAGCCTTAAATATCTTTGTTTTGACTCGTGTAGTTCACGGTTTCAGGTGGAAATTTAAAGCGCAGATCCATGCAAGTTAATATTGCGCATCCCATGTTAGACACAATATTTTTGGACCGACAATGAAAATTGATTCCAACTAAGCCAAAGCAGAATCAGCCATGGGCATCTCCAAGCAAAACACAGCAGTGTTGTTTGTATTTTTGAATGAATCTGCATTTTTGAACAAATCATTTGAGTAAATGATTCAATGACTCACTTAAAGGGAGAGTCGCCACCTACTGGTGTAATGATTTGTGCCATTTATATAAAGACTGGCAGCCTGGGTAACACTTTATTTTGATGGACATTGGGTTGACTATGAGGAACTTTGCAACTACATGTCAACTAACTCTCATTAGAGTATTAGTAGACTGTTTGCTTAATGGCTGTTAACTCTTTATTGTGATTCTCCACAACAAACATTCTACCAACTATAATGAACTTTGCAACTACATGTCAACTTATTCTAACCCTAACCCTACCAGTCTACTAATGCTTTTCTAACACTTTAATGAGAGATAGTAGAGATGTAGGTGCAACGTTACTTCTAGTCAACAGAATGTGACCATCAAAATAAAGTGAAACCACAGCCTGCAAGAGTAAGAACTGTTTTAATGATTTAAAGTGATTCATGAATCATGATCATTCATAAAACAATTCTTACGTACATTTTTCCATTGGATTGAATTTCTTAATCCTTTTTCATTATTGAGGACCATTGACTCTTTTGAATTGCAAGTGTAATTTATATAACCGCACATGTGGTGCACATTCAACCATCTTATTTCAGAGGAGGCCCATCACTCTCTTCTTTTGCAGATATCAACGAGTGTTTTCTGCAGCTCTGTCATCCGTTCGCTTCCTGCTCCAACACCCAGGGCTCGTTCCACTGCCAGTGTTGGCCTGAATACAAGGGCGACGGCTTCCTCTGCCAGCCACCACGTAAACCACACATTTATCAAGAACACACAATGCTTCCACCCATCAGCTCAGTAACAAGACTGTTCTCTTTGCTTATAACACAGAAGTCATCCAGCAAAACAAATCAAGTCAAATATTATGTAGCCTACATTGTCGCATTATAAACCAATCGAACACAAAATGCATCGTTTAATCACTCAGGATGTGGTTGAAAACAACTAGAACAAGTTCCTGGAACCACATCTTTTGTTCCAGGACTTAGATTAACCACATCGCTGCATGTACTGAATACCCATAAATGTTCTTTGGTCCTATGTTTATTTCTACACTAGAGAAGCCCAAACCCTCATTAACTGTGTGCCAGCAACACCGAGACAGTCTGCAAGAGAGTCTACGCATGTACCGTGGCCTGGAAGCCTTCGTTCCTCAGTGTGATGAGAAAGGGCAGTACAAACCCCTGCAGTGCCTGGGCACCACTGGACACTGCTGGTGTGTGGACAGAAGAGGTCAGGAGAGAGTGGGCACCAGGACAATGCCTGGCACAGTACATGCCAACTGTGATCAGCCAGGTATGGATTTGTAGTTTCATCCCCTTACGGTCTGATAGGATCAGGTTTATATTTTAGGATATATACACACTCACCTAAAGGATTATTAGGAACACCATACTAATACTGTGTTTGATCCCTTCTCACCTTCAGAATGCCTTAATTCTACATGGCATTGATTCAACAAGGTGCTGAAAGCATTCTTTAGAAATTTTGACCCGTATTGATAGGATAGCATCTTGCAGTTGATGGAGATTTGTGGGATGTACATCCAGGGCACGAAGCTCCCGTTCCACCACATCCCAAAGATGCTCTATTGGGTTGAGATCTGGTGACTGAGGGGGTCATTTTAGGACAGTGAACTCATTGTCATGTTCAAGAAACCCATTTGAAATGATTCTAGCTTTGTGACATGATGCATTATCCTGCTGGAATTAGCCACCAGAGGATGGGTACATGGTGGCCATAAAGGGATGGACAATGGTCAGAAACAATGCTCAGGTAGGCCATGGCATTTAAACGATGCCCAATTGGCACTAAGGGGTCTAAAGTGTGCCAAGAAAACATCCCCACACCATTACACCACCACCACCAGCCTGCACAGTGGTAACAAGGCATAATGGATCCATGTTCTCATTCTGTTTGAGCCAAATTCTGACTCCATCTGAATGTCTCAATAGAAATCGAGACTCATCAGACCAGGCAACATTTTTCCAGTCTTCAACTGCCCAATTTTGGTGAGCTCTAGCAAATTGCAGCCTCTTTTTCCTATTTGTAGTGGAGATGAGTGGTACCCGGTGGGGTCTTCTGCTGTTGTAGCCCATCCGCCTCAAGGTTGTGCGTGTTGTGGCTTCACAAATGCTTTGCTGCATACCTCGGTTGTAACGAGTGGTTATTTCAATCAAAGTGTCTCTTCTATCAGCTTGAATCAGTCGGCCCATTCTCCTCTGACCTTTAGCATCAACAAGGCATTTTCGCCCACAGGACTGCCGCATACTGGATGTTTTTCCCTTTTCACACCATTCTTTGTAAACCCTAGAAATGGTTGTGTGTGAAAATCCCAGTAACTGAGCAGATTGTGAAATACTCAGACCGGCCCGTTCTGGCACCAACAACCATGCCACGCTCAAAATTGCTTAAATAACCTTTCTTTCCCATTCTGACATTCTGTTTGAAGTTCAGGAGATTGTCTTCAGGACCACACCACTAAATGCAAATGATTGGCTGATTAGATAATGGCATTAATGAGAAATGAACAGGTGTTCCTAAAAATCCTTTAGGTGAGTGTATTTAAAAGTTTAGGAAACACATTTTGAAAGAAGTTTATGTTCACCAAATCTGCATTCATATATGTATACAGTAAAAAAAAAAAAAATAATAATATTGTGAAATGTTATTACAATTTGGGAACAACTGCAACTAACTGACAATTTTGAAATAGAAATATTTTGTATGTACATTTATTAACTATCTTTTGATCAATTTGATGCATCATTTCAAGGATAAAAGTATTAATGTAAAAGGTTACTTATTTCAAATAAATGCTGTTCCAATGCACTTTCTATTCTTTTAAGAATCAAATCTATTGGATACAGAGCCCCTAAAGGGACAATGAAACAATGACATTTCAATGATGAAAAACATATTTGAATGCTTTGGTTTCAACTTGCAATATATTGCCAAATACGAGGCATTTAAAACACAAGGACACACTTCCTGCTCCTCACTGTTGAATTGCATGAGTGTTGTGGGAGTGGAATGCAGTTCCAACTATATATGACATAATTATCCTTCATGGGACGGTCTAACTGTAATTAACGCACACATAGTCATCTATTGAGGCAAGATATATGGTCACAGATTTTAAAGAATTTCTGAAAAATGTCTCAGTGTTTTCCAAAAGAGACATTACTCAGTAAAATTGACACTGTGTACTGTGTCTTACTCAGCTGCCCTGGTTCCCCGTGTGGAGACTGTTTGCGAGCGCTGGAAGCTTTCACTCATGAGTCACTATAGGGGTCAGCCGTCCCCTCAAGACTACATGCCCCTGTGTGACGCTCATGGAAATTTCCTGCCTGTGCAATGTTACGGCAACAGCAGTTTCTGCTGGTGTGTGGACCACCAAGGCGTGGAAATTATTGGAACCCGGTCCTACAATGATGTAAAGCCCCCTTGTGAGTAATAAAGTTATTTTGGACTCATCAGGCTGAAAATACCAAAACCAAGTAGCAGGGGCCCCACAAATGACCGTGGCCCCTAGAATCAGCACCACCTTTCTTCCCTTTAGCAGCAGCCCTGAATAAGTGTTCTGTCATCTTTACAAGACTGTGATATGAAGAGCGATATTCAAACAAAAATCTATTAGTCTAGACAAGGCCTTATATTCTATAGATTAGTATAGAGCCAAATCGTGTAGCCCTAGATTGTCATATTATAACGTCTCTGCTTTTTACCTGTCAGGTATTTCAGGTGATGCCCCCCCATTGAATAATGCATTGACGTATCCTGTCATAAGCTCCTCCCCTTCAGGGCCTGCTATCCTTTATGCACGAGCCTCACAGATTGTAGTCATTCCTCTTGATGAAACAGACCCAGTTCAAGAGAAATCCAATGTTTTACTGGCCTTGAAGGTAGACCCTCATAAGTCATAACAACAATTTGTGATTATATCCAAATTCAAAACCTAATGCAGTCTTGTTCTAATTAATTGTGAAAAATAATACTTGAATATTATTGCAGGACTCTGTTGTGATTGGGATGGGCTATGACTGTCAGGAAAACATGTTATATTGGACAGATTTTGGACGACAAACCATTAACAGAGTGGTCTTAGTATTTGGGTCTCAGCCAGAGATTATTATCAGCCAAGGTTAGTTATCTATCCATCCATCCATCCATCCATCCATCCATATATCCATACATATATCCATCCATCCATCCATCTATATATCCATCCATCTGCCCACCCACCAACACATCCATCCATCCATACATCTATCCATACATCCATCCATCCATCCATCTGCCCACCCACTCATCTATATATCCATCCATCTGCCCACCCACCAACACATCCATCCATACATACATACATCTATCCATACATATATCCATCCATCCATCCATCTGCCCACCCACTCATCTATATATCCATCCATCTACCCACCCAACCACCCATCCATATATCTATCCATACATATATCCATCCATCCATCCATCTATATATCCATCCATCTGCCCACCCACCAACACATCCATCCATCCATACATACATACATCCATAGATCTATCCATACATCCATACATCCATCTGCCCACCCACTCATCTATATATCCATCCATCTGCCCACCCACCAACACATCCATCCATCCATACATACATCTATCCATACATATATCCATCCATCCATCCATCCATCCATCCATCCATCCATCCATCTACCCACCCACCCACCCAACCACCCATCCACATATCTATCCATACATATATCTACGTATCCATCTATATATCCATCCATCTGCCCACCCACCAACCCATCCATCCATCCATCCATCCATATATCCATCCATCTACCCACCCATCTATATATCCATCCATCCATCCATCCATTCATCCATCCATCCACCCATTCATCCATCCATCCATCCATTATGGGGACTATAGCCACTAGTCTAAAAAATTAGTCTGACCAACTTGTATAAGGAATCTATACATACATGTATCTATCTATCCATCCATCCACCCACCCACCAACCCATCCATCCATCTATTTTGGGGACTATAGCCACTAGTCTTAAAAATTAGCCTGACCAACTTGAATAAGCAAGGGGTAATCATTGTTACTTTTCAGACTTATATATACTTTATGAATAAATAGTAAAACTAGTCTCAGCAGATTATGCAACTGACCCGCATATTCCATAATCATACATTTTGAAATTCCAGGCTTGGTCCAGCCAGAGGGAATTGCAGTGGACACTGTGCACAGGAAGCTGTTCTGGGTGGACAGTGGGAACGACAGGATTGAGACATCTGGTCTGGATGGCAAGAACAGAAAAGTGCTGATTGATTCTGATTTGGTCAATCCCAGATCCATCATAGTGGACGCTAAGAGTGGGTCAGTGAGATGAGATCAAAATCCTTAATTTGCTGTCTACGCATTTTTATATACAAAGTTCTGTCATGAAACTCTAGATGGCTCAGGCTGATAAGTCCTTAACTCAATCTGCTGGGCGCTCGAAGGCCATTCCTAACCCCAATGATTTGAGCTCTGACATCCATGGTTCGCTCATCATAGCCCTAGAGACCGCTCTTTCTTGGATTCCTGCCCCATATTGCCAGCACCGCCCTGCTCGGTCATCTCGTCCGACACCGTGGCACACATTCTCCCTCCTTGTACGATTCTGTTTCGGTCACTCTCTCGGCGATGGGGGGGAGTACTGTCACAATCACTTGTCGCCTCAGAACTTCATTTTCCATAATACTTCATGGCTCCCACCTGCACACACTCCACTGCCAACTGCAATCAATCATCCTCATCAGCTCCAAGGCATTAAACGCCCACTGAAGTTGCTTGGAAGGCACAGCTTTGTATGATGCGTTGACATAATTTCCACTGAAACAGGAAGCTAAGGCGATACATTGGATTCAATGGTAGAGGTGTGGATATATTCAAGCCATTTCATTCTTAACCAACGTACAGTTGGAAAACGGAAAAAAAAACTTGAGCGTTTGAGCCACCGAACAATCACCTCCAGCCCATATTTCTCCAAGACGTGTCAACGGTCACTTTGGCCAGGTGGTATTTATAGCATGGGGGCTTTAGATTCTAGATTCTTTAGGTTCGCTTTAGATTCTAGAGAGCATTTGATTGGACAGAAGATGTGATGAGAAGCTGAAGTCCACGGTGATGTCTTAAAAATCCTTGATCCATTTTAGTGGAATAAGGGACTGTAAGTTTTGAATGCTTATACCTCCTATTTGCGAATTTTGTCATTGTTTTGGAACACACTAGCTTATTCATAACCTTAAGGCCTTTAAAGCCTGCACCACACTCTTCATCATGTCTGGTCTACAACTTGGACTATCTGATGTACTGGATGGACTATTCTCTGCAATGAAACTTACCTCTGTGATTGTCTCCACATCTTCATCTCCTTTAAATCTCTCTACAGTCTCCAGGTGTCCTTGTGTTTGCTTCATAAACCTGTAAGTTAAGGATACATCTACTTAAATCTTTGAAGACAGTAACATTCTGGAACATGTGTGTGTGGTGCAGCTCACCTGGCCTTGGACTGTTCCTCGTCTTCTCATCAGTTGATATTTTCTATTTATTTGACATAAATCTTTTGTAACCTAAACACATTATTTACTGTTACTTTTGTTCAATTTCATGCATCCTTGCTGCATTTCTTTCAAATTATATATTACTGACCCCAAATTTTTGAATGGTAGTGTAGATAAATTTAGTATATTAAAGAATGTACATTGACATTATTATATATAAACATCAATATATTCATTTACCTGTTTTATTTGAAAGTGTTAATCTTCTGCACGTGTTCCTCAGAACCTTATATTGGACTGACTGGAACCGTGATGCTCCCAAAATAGAGAGCTCATCATTGGAGGGACATAAGAGGAAAGTCCTGGTGCAAGTGGGTCTCATGTTGCCCAATGCCTTGACACTGGACTTCACCACAAATCACCTGTGCTGGGCAGATGCAGGTATGAGTCTTCTTAAAATATAATAGCTGACTTTATCAGCTATATGGCATAGTCACAAGTACTGTGTAGTTAAACCCAAACAAGAGCAAAACGCATGAATAGCGTGAAACTAGAGACTTTAATGAACATGGAGAATTAATAAAGCAACAACACATTTAACATTGACGACAACGAACCCAGAACTGAGAAAACTATGGGTTTATCTACACAGTAAATGATGATCAACACCCCCCAAAAAATAGGTATGTAACTAATTAGAAACATTGCAACAAACAAACAATGTCAAGAACTCTGGCCTCCAGAAGAGTGAAAACAAATCCAACACTGAACATGACTGTTACAATCATATGCAGTACAATATTAAGAGAAAATTAATCTAAATCCCCAGGCTCAAAGAAACTGGAGTGCATATCTCCAGATGGGACTCAGAGACGTGTGTTCCAGGATGCTTTGGACTATCCGTTCAGCCTGGCCATCTATAACAGCCACTTTTACTATACTGACTGGGAGAGGTGAGTCCTGACACATGCTTAATTGCAGCTCTATGGATTTGAATAAACATGATCTGGCTGGTTTCCTTATTCATGATGAGAATGTCCTTACAGAGATGGGATACTGGTGATAGATCAAATCACTAGGAAAAACACAGCTTACATCCCTATTCAGCAGTCACACTTGTATGGGATGACAGTTATTCCATCACAGTGTCTATGTAAGTATGCAAATAGCGTATCTTTTTTGAAAATAAATAAATTATATATATACTGTATATATATATATGAAAGAAAGCAGTACGGAATTCCTGATCACTTTATTCTTTTTTTTTTTCTTTTTTTATAGAGACCTGCAGACGTATGCAGACTATATGGATTGTTCTAGATTTGTCAGAAAATAAATAAATGACAACAAAACTAAACAAAATTGACTGAAAAATGATTTGGCATTTAAGAAAATGCAACCCAGTGTTATTTTAGTATTATCTATACAGTTTTTAGTAGTATTTTGAATTAGGTTTTTTTTTATCATTATTAATATTATTTTCATAGTTTATAATTTGATCATGTGCTATTGTCATGTTTTTGTAGTTTTTTATTTTATTTTTAAATATTACTATTTTTTATTTCAGTTTTAGTTTTTATTTATTTCTAGTGAGTAATTCCAATGCTTATTTTCACTCTAATTTAGCTCAATTTAATAGATTAGTTTTAGTTACTGATAATAATCCTGATGCCACCCGAAACAACCTAAAATCACTACAACCTGAAGTTGAAGTTCAATATGTTCACCAATAGGTTGCGCCGCTAACTAACTAATTGAAATAATAGTTCCTTACTAAAGCCTGAATGGTTCGAAATGGCCCTAAGTGTGTATATAAATTAAACTAGATGTCAAAACAGAAAGATTTTAGCATGTTTTTATCAGATAAAGAATCTGGTTTCACTTTATTTTGATGGTGCCTTTAACATATTCAGTTTACTATAAGCAACGTTGTACCTACATCTCTACTAACTCTCACTAGAGTGTTAGTAGCGTATTAGTAGACTGGTAGGGTTAGGGATATAATAAGTTGACATGTAGTTGCAAAGTTACTTATAGTCAACAGAATGTTCAAAAGGGACGATCAAAATAAAGTGTTACCAACAATTTTTTCAATTAAAAACATACGAAACAAAATACAATTAAAATTAAGTTTTATAATTTTCATAAATGGGTCTTTCATATCGATGCATTACTTTCATCGTGTGATGCCCGTCAAGCATAATGCACAGGATAGGGCAATTTGGCCCTCGACCACAATAGAAAATTCCCACTGTCTAAAATAAGGTTGACACATAATGGTTCATTTTAGTCTGACTCTCAGTAAGGCCAAAAATACATGGGTTCCATGAACAGAGAATCTCGTCCGCAAGATTGCTCTCACAACTCCTCACCCTTGTCTTCGCATGATTCCAAACCTATGTTGTTCTGCCTGGTTAGAATATAGCCTAGTTCACTTGATTCTCTCGTCCGTGGGAAGGTGTGCAATAATATTTGAGCATTGCCATGGGTTTTCTGTAAACCCACGGTTTGATATTGCTAAACAAACAGGATGGGTTACCCACAAGGCACAAGAACCGCCAACAGACGGCAAGACTTCACCACTGCAGAGGCCAGACCTCCCAGCCTGTGGAGGGCAGCCAACACTGGCTTCTATCCTTCAGCCTCAGACCCCACAGCAGGTCAGAAGGTTCAATACAGTTTACTCAACAGAGCAGCCATATCCCAGAGGTGGGGTGTGAACTTTGGCCTGGTCGTAGAAGCCATCAGGCACCCAAGGGAGCAGTTTGAGCCCATTGGGTGCATGAGTGCATATTTCTCCCATTTAACACGGTATCCTCTTAACTCCTTCTGGATTAAATGTTTATTGTACAGGGGCGTAGGAACTATTTGGCTTTTTAGGGTTATTTCATCCAAAAATGAAAATTCTGTCATCATTTACTCACCCTCATGCCGTTTCAAACCCATAAGACTTCCGTTTTACATTCAGAACACAAAAGAAGATATTTCAATGAAATCTGAGAGATTTCTGTCCCTCCATTGACAGTCCACGCAACCACCAATTTGACTCTTCAAAAAAATCATGAAGAGATCCTTAAACTAATCCAAATAAATTGGGTGGTTTAGCCCAAATTTTCTGAGGACACTTGATCACTTTACATGTTGAACAGATTCAATTTAGGCTTTTATTCACACAAAAATTCATCGACAATCAAGCATGTTCACTTGACTTGCGAGAACCAATGAGGTTCATTCTCGTGTTACGCAGCACGTTTGAGCTTCAACAAGAACCAATGAGGTTCATTCTCGTGTTACGCAGCACGTTTGAGCTTCAACACGAACCAATGAGGTTCATTGTCGTGTTACGCAGCACGTTTGAGCTTCAACAAGAACCAATGAGGTTCATTCTCGTGTTACGCAGCACGTTTGAGCTTCAACAAGAACCAATGAGGTTCATTCTTGTGTTACGCAGCACGTTTGAGCTTCAACAAGAACCAATGAGGTTCATTCTCGTGTTACGCAGCACGTTTGAGCTTCAGAAAGAACCAATGAGGTTCATTCTCGTGTTACGCAGCACGTTTGAGCTTCAACAAGAACCAATGAGGTTCATTCTCGTGTTACGCAGCACGTTTGAGCTTCAACAAGAACCAATGAGGTTCATTCTCATGTTACGCAGCACGTTTGAGCTTCAACAAGAACCAATGAGGTTCATTCTTGTGTTACGCAGCACGTTTGAGCTTCAACAAGAACCAATGAGGTTCATTCTCGTGTTACGCAGCACGTTTGAGCTTCAACAAGAACCAATGAGGTTCATTCTCGTGTTACGCAGCACGTTTGAGCTTCAACAAGAACCAATGAGGTTCATTCTCGTGTTACGCAGCACGTTTGAGCTTCAAAAAGAACCAATGAGGTTCATTCGCGTGTGCAGCAGCACGTTTGAGCTTCAACAAGAACCAATGAGGTTCATTCTCGTGTTACGCAGCACGTTTGAGCTTCAGAAAGAACCAATGAGGTTCATTCTCGTGTTACGCAGCACGTTTGAGCTTCAGAAAGAACCAATGAGGTTCATTCTCGTGTTACGCAGCACGTTTGAGCTTCAGCAAGAACCAATGAGGTTCATTCTCGTGTTACGCAGCAAAAAATGGAGGCAAATCCGAATGTAAGCTTGCAGTTATGACATTTGGTTTAACAATGTCAAGCGGCTGCCTTTATTATTCCTTGCACAGAGCACCCAATTGAGCACAATAAAATGTGTTAGTTTTATTCCTCAAAAAGTGATCTTGGATCTTGAAAAGTGCCAACAAGCACATTTTTTTTAGCAATAAATCCCAAAATGAAGGCCTATGCTCAAACAACCACACAAAGGTGATGCAAGACACGTTCCCATGGCTTCAAAGCCAGGTGAAGCATCCAGCTGCTCGTTGGTTAAACATATGGTGAATTTGATAGTGAGCAACAGCAGTGTGAATGCTAAACAGCCCTCTTCACACGCAAAACTCCATAAGCAAATAGTCTGATTCGTGAAGGCTGTGTGCGGATGTCTGAAGTAGACCCGTGTAGATTTAAGATTGGAAAATAGGCTAGAAATCACTGTGGTGTCCAATTGGAGTTAGCATGAGAGAAACATTTTAAACTGTACTTTTGGTTTTCTGTCATCCGTCCCAACTTCACTTTCAGTTACAGTAAGTAGGCTACTCAACTCTTCCCTACTCAACCGCCCCCAAATCTTTTGTATGGGCCGTGCATTCAGTGACGCAAATCATAATTCCTTAAGGTCTTTGAAAATCATGCCAACTTCGTCTTAATGGTGCACTTTAACAAGCAATAACAACATGCATAGTTCAAATTCATGTGTGTGTGTGAGAGAGAGAGAGAGGGAGAAGAATAGAAACAGAGGGAGACAGGAAATTGAACGGCATTTTGATTTGTACCAGGAGCTCTGTGTGCAAGACACTCTTATGGACGTTGTTACGTAACAGCACGGTTTGTTCTGGCCCTTGTCTGAAGGACATTTGAGACTAATAATGTATAACCTTAATGTATAACCACGTACACACACCTCTCATCCTCTCTATACAAACACAAAGCCTTCCTCCTTTCTCATCACACACACACAGTCACACACACATAGAGAGGGAAATGGGTGGGGCCACTTCTGTGGTTAAGGTTGTATGTTACATCAAAGAATAATCTTTTGAGCAAGAGCATTCAAAACAACTTCAGTTTAATTTAGGCACCATGAATAGTTTACAAATTGGTGTCCAATTACTTTTTTCTCAAAAGCACATCTCATGTTTTAGGTTTTAAATATGTTATATAAACTACTATACAAAACAATAATCAAGCATGAAAAAGTAGGCCGTTTAAAAAACATTAAAGTAATGATGATGACTGGCGATTGTCCCTCTTCTTGAACGTGTATCCAACAATGAAAATCAACCATATCACAATATGCAGATTAATTGATATTTACTGTAATTTGCTATGTTATAAAAATATAAAAAGGTCATTTTTATTTCACAATTCTGACTTTTTTTCAGAATTGCCATGTCAAAAGTGTCAGTATATGACGCACTGGGATGAGAACGGGCTTATATTTGGGCTTTATATTTATATCTTATATCTCATATTTGAGATCAGTCTTTTTTTCATCAGAATTGGACTTGGTCAGAATTGCGAGATGCAATAAATAAATAAATAATAGTATATTTTGACAATAATGCGAGATGTAATAAATAAGTAAATAATAGTATATTTTGACAATCAGGACCCACCTACTGGCCTCCATTTTGTGGTAACCTACAATTTAGAAAACAATTTTCTGCCATTTTTTCTGACTTGTATTTGTCTGGCAGTGGCAAGCAGTATACAGTAAGGCATTGCTGTATGTGTTGACTTTTTTCCAAATGGTTTAAAACACAAATGCTATAAATCAACTTTTATGCTTTGTAATTTTATCCATTTAATAAAGGATCCAACATTTAAACACTAAATTAATTCATGTGGGCCACACCCATTTGTTCATCCTTTGTCCTGCCGAACCCTAAGAGTGAAATGAGTTACATAAACCCTCTCTGCTGTAAAACACAAGATTACAGTACAGTAGAGCACTGTGATACACTCTTATCTCTTAGATTATATACAGTGTGTCAGACAAAGATTGGCATTAAGTAATTGCATTTAGTGGTCATTTCTTTAAACAAAAATGGTTAAAAACAGAAGAATCACTTCATGAATGTTGTCATAGTGTGTGTGTACATGTTCAGGCATTTTTAACAAGGTTGCAGATGACTGAACTTGGAGCAACGATTGTGGGAATCTTCCCAAGAAACCAGGCCCAAAAATAATTGTTTACAAGAGATGGATGAATTTTTGTTATGTTTTTG